TCAGCAGGATGCCTTCGCCTGCTGAGCTGTTGGTATTGTCCAAGTGTCAGAAAAGGAACAAAAATCATGTGAGAGATGGTCCTGGTGCTTATAGGGCTATGGACTTTCAGGGAACATAAAAGAGGTCACATCTCTACAAGGAACAGTCATGATGATTGCACATGTATGTGATAATAAGAACAAGTATGGTTAAGTACCCACATTGTCAGTGTTCCAAGACCTGGAAAGAGAGAAGATCAGTGTGGTGACCAGAAGTAGGGCTGGGTAGGGATACCTGGAGAGAATTTGCTGTAATGGAGTCAGAGTGTCCCAAGTTTAAATTCTGACTACCATTTAATAGCTGCACTGTCTTGGGCGAGTGACTTGACTTCCCTTGAAGCATCTGTTCCTCATGTGATGATAGAAATAACAGCATTAACTGAGTGTTTGCCACATACTTGACATTGATAAGAATTTCACTGGACTTATTTCATTTGAACTTTTAACAAACTTATGAAGTAGATATTATTAAATGAAATAAGTAATGTAAGTAAAAAGAGCCCAGCTTTGGTTCCTGGAATGTTGAAGGTACTAGCTCAGCAGTAGGCATTCTTAGCGTTATTCCAGCCACTAACTTGGTGTTTTAGAGTTTGTCGACTGAAAAAAAATGCACAACATGAGGGTTGTGAGTTAAGTTTCATTTGGGGAAAATTGAGGACTATAGCCTGGGAGACAGCATTTCAGATAGCTCTGAGAAACTGTTCCAAAGAAGTAGGGGGGAAGGTCAGTATATATGTGATTGTGGTGAGGTGGGGGGTGGGGTGCATGCAATCAAGCACATATTTTTTGTTTGCAGAAGGTTTCTGCTAGTCTCGTGAAGGTTACTGCTAGTCATGAGGAGCAGACGTCACCATGAAGGATTTTAGTGCTTTTCTAGATATGAGGAGATATAAGAATTGGGCTCATAAAATTGTCTCTTAAAAATATCTAACTATCTGAAGACCTGTTCTAACAGTTTTTCCCAGAGCAGAGTGCTGATCTCCACCCTGAACTCCTTTCAGGGGGTGTTGAAAGTCAGCAGCTGTAGCCTCTCGTAATTTGATCCTTGTAGGGGTAGATGGCAAGTGCCAATTTGTAGGTGACAAGTTTTAGAGGTGGAGTGAAGGTAGAAGGGACTGGAAGGGAGAGGGAATCAGATACAGTTTGGGGTCAAGTACCAGGAAGGAGGAGTTTGTGTGTTTGGTGGGGTGGTAGGCACGGGAGTAGAGGAGGAGTCAGAGGACTTTAAATAAGGGAGTTGGCATGATAAGAGCTTTTCTAAGAAGTGTTGGACCTCCCTGGTGGCGCAGTGGTTGAGAATCTGCCTGCCAATGCGGGGGACACTGGTTCAATCCCTGGTCCAGGAAGATCCCATATGCTGCGGAGCAACTAAGCCTGTGCACCACAACTACTGAGCCTGCCCTCTAGAGCCCGTGAGCCACAACTACCGAACCTGAGCACCACAACTTCTGAGCCTGCCTGCTGCAACTACTGAAACCCATGTGCCTAGAGTCCATGCTCCGCAACAAGAGAAGCCACTGTGATGAGAAACCTGCACCCCACTCACCGCAACTAGAGAAAGCCTGCACGCTGCAACAAAGACCCTGCCCCCACAAAAAAAAAAAAAAAAAAAAAAAAAAAAAAAAAGAAGAAGCAGCAGTGTCTGTCAGCTAGAGGAAATCATAGAGGAAAAAAAGTGAGCAAGGAGCCTAGGCTTTTTTGCCCTGTGAGATTGCTTGAAAATGGAACCTGCTAGTTTTTGCTAGAACCTGGAGTTGTTCCTTCTGTGGAAAAGGAAATAAGACATCAGGGGCACTTTACCCAGGAAACCTTAAGTTCTTGGATTTTTTTTGTTTTTGTTTTTAGGGTTAGGTTTACTTTGTCTGCCATCCCAAAGGACTTGTGGTTTTTCTTTATTCATAAGATCATATGTTAGGATTCTCTTAAATATGTCACTTGGTTATTTACAAGAGGAACCAGTTTAAAGGCTTCATGAAGACAAGTATTAACTGTTGTGATTTTTTTTAATTAATTTATTTATTTTTGGCTGCATTGGGTCTTCGTTGCTGCGCACGGGCTTTTCTCTAGTTTTGAGCAGGGGCTACTCTTCGTTGCGGTGCGTGGGCTTCTCATTACAGTGGCTTCTCTTGTTGAGGAGCACAGGCTTTAGGCGCACAGGCTCAGTAGTTGTGGCACACGGGCTTAGTTGCTCCGTGACATGTGGAATCTTCCTGGACCAGGGCTTGAACCCGTGTCGCCTGCATTGGCAGGTGGATTCTTAACCACTGTACCACCAGGGAAGTCCAACTGTTGTGATTTCTATTTGTACTACTTTCTCTTCTCAGTGTTATCAAGCTCAGTTTTAAAAGGCAACATAACTCACAAAAATAGGTATCAGAGAGAGGGAGTTTCTGGAAGAGGGGAAGCTTTAAGGGGGGAGCACTCAGAAGATTTTGGTTGATGTAGGTTGTGGTTTGGTTGTCAATAGCCTTGATTTTATTTTATTTAGTTAAAACAGTACTAACTAAATTTTAAAATCAGCTTTATTTTTCAGGTATAATTTACATAAAATAACCCACTTAAAGCATATAATTCATTGAGTTTTGACAAATTTATGCACCAACATCATCACCACCCCAGTCAAGATTTTTATCACCCCAGAAAGTATCCTCATACCCTTCCTGTCCACGATCCCCATCCCAGGCAACCACTGGTTTGGTTTCTGAGTACTTCAGTGTGTGTTTCCTAAAAATAAGAACCCTGGGGGTTTTTTTGTAAAAAAAGGTACATGTTTATTTTTCACTCAAGTATAAGCAAAGCAAGGTCATTCCTGGGAGAGGGGCATGACCCACCAGCAAAAGGGCTGTCATAGTGTCAGAGGGTGGGAATGGTGATAGCTTGAGGCCTGCAGTAAAAATATATATAGTGTAAGGGCTGTGCTGAGCCCCACCCAGGGAATGCAGTGGAGAATATATTGGCTATTATTAACTTGACAAATATTTAATAGTTTAGCCAAAAGGCATTTGCTGAGCAAAGGGCCCTGTTTTACATAACCAAAATATAATTATCAAAATGAGGAAACTTACTCTGATACACTACTGTTAACTAATCTACAGACCTCACTCCTAATTTGCCACAAATGTCCTTTATCTGGTCCAGGAACTAATCCAGATCACATCTGGCATTTAGCTGTCCTGTCTCCATAGTCTCCCTTAACCTGGAACAGTTCTCAGTCTTTGTCTTTGATGACTTTTGACACTTTCGAAGAGTATAGTGATTGATTTAGGAGGTATCAGTGCAGCATTAGAGCTGTATTCCTTTTATCATCTTTACTAATATTTTCATCTTTCCTACACTGGCCAGTGATGTGCCTGTGAATTGCCTGAGTATGCCTTGTGTTTGCCTTTAAATTTTATCTTCCTTTTCTGAATATAAATATTAGGCATATAGTTCTAAAAAAAAAATTAAGGCCATAAGATATATTTCTAGGTCTCAAATCCTCAAAAATAACTATGGATGTACATTCTTCTAGCCTTTAAGATAGCTTTTCATATCCTTTGCCCCTTTTTATATTGAGTTGTTTATATATAAAAGAAGCCTTTTATATAATGTGGATATTAGTCCTTTCCCATAAATTGTCATTCTTTTTCTCTGTCATTTTTCTTCTAAAATTTTTTATCATCTTCTACAAATAAGTTTTGAAGTCCTATGCAGTTAACTTTCCTTTTCCCTTGTTTGGCTTTGGGATCGTTGCTATGAAAGGCTTTCTGTATCCTAAGGTTATAGAAATACTTTTCTACATTTTTTGTTAGTTTTATCATTTTAAATTTAGATTCTTGAGCTATCTAGAATTTATTGTATATATGTGAGGTTGTATTCTAACTTCATTTAGTATGGTGTGGTGAGGCATTTCATCATCTATCCTTTCATTTAACAGATTTTTAGCATCTCCCTACCATGTGCTAAGCAGTGGTCTGGGTGCTAGGAAGGTAGCAGTGAATGAAACAGGTAACACCCCTTCCTCCTGGATCTTCTCTTCTAGAAAGAGGAGGCAGCAGTGAAGAAGAAATACTGCTGAGGATGAGGTTACGTGCTGTGATGGCCACGCAGCAGGGTGGCCTGGCTGAGTGTGACGGGGCACCTTTGAGGAGATGGCAGTGAAACTGTTGTAAATCTGTTGAAATAATCTATTGAATAATCTGCTTATTCTCCATAGATTTGAAATGCTACCTTTAAAATATACTAAATTTATATATGTATATAAGATGTGCACATATAATATATTCACACACATACACACATGCATGAGTTTATTTTTCTGGATTCTGTTCTGTTGCTCTATTTCTACTATAGTAACACACTATTTGTTTAGAATTTATTTTGTTATTTTATAAAGAAAATCCACCCCCCCCCTTGTTTTTCTTTTCAAAATTTTGGTTACTGTACTGTTCTTATACATTTATCCTTAGGGTCAAATTTTGTTAACTATAATCAAGTTCTAAAAGAAACAGTTAAAAAGAAAAAAATATGCAATTTGGATTTGGATTCATTAAATCCGTATCAATTTGAGGAAGATTACCATACTTCCTATTGAGTAAAAAAATTACCCTTCATTTTATTTGGATCTTTCATTATGGATTTTGTTAACATTGATCATGAGGCTCTAGCTTATTCCTAGTAAGTATATTCTGAGGTGTTTCATTTTTGTTGCACTGTGATTGGGATTTATCCATGATTGTGACTTTGTTAAAAAAAAAAAGAAGAAATTGGGTTGCTAAGAATTATATTTGAAGACACTTTGCCGTTGTGGTGCCTAAAACTTCATCACTATCGTATCTTCTTTATAAAGTATACTTTCGTTAGTAAAATATCCCTATTTATTCCATTTGATAATTCATCTTTTTAAAGACTAACAATATCAAAAAAGCCTGTGTTTTAGGTTTAGGAAAACCTCTGCATAAAGGAGATAAACCCATGAAGCTGCTTATTTCAAACACCCTGAGTTACTCCCTGCTTAATGTAGTGCTGGGGAGAAAAAAGGCATAATAAGTGGAAAGGAGAAAGGCAGAAAACATTTTAAGGGATTAACAACAAATACATTTTATGAACGATACAGTTAAGTTTCACTTCAGCCTTTTAAAATGCCTTTCTGTACTAATCTACCCAGGGCTCCATAGTACGTTACAAGGTAGGACAAGCTCTGCGGCAGGAGGGCTGGAGGTTAGGGGTGGGTAGGTTCTGCACTTGAGGGAATCTAGGGAATAGAAGAATCTAGGGAAGTGGGGAAGACCAGCATATAGTCCATAGGAGTCTTGAGTTTGGGCTTTTAATTTTGCCCAATATGTTCAGCTAAAAAGGTGATTGCCTTGTAATTAATTTATTGAAAGTAGATTAATT